TTAGAATATTACAGTAAAATAATGGCAATGTTCTCCCACAATCCTCGACCTGGGCCTCGACCTATTGTAGATATGAGCTATACGGATCTATTAAGCGGAGGTGCCTCCTGAGTGTATGTATCGAACTTTAGCCAACATCTGCCGCATTACCCAGGCCTCTTGAAAAGTATTCATTAATCCATGCCTTGGATACCTCGCTTTGTATGAACCTAGATGCAAGTTTGAAATCATATACACGATCAAATGGCATCTACGAGTCCTCATGCAGATCTTTGTATTTTTCGACAAATCTCCTCACATCTCCACTAGTTTCCCCCATGCGGGGATAATACTCAGGTTCACATGGCGCTGAGGAAGCATCAACTAAACTTTGTGATTTTGTGTCAGACTCATGCACGACCTCATCATTAATGGTGTCTAGATGGCAGGTGACAATGTCGGGGTTGGATTCATAGTCAGAATCAGACTGATTATTCTCGTAGTCCCTGGCATAATAACGCAATTGGTAGGATTCCATGTCCTAGGTACTATTTGACGAAGGAGTACTCTGTATGTGTGATGTGAGGAGAATGCTGATATCTACATGTGCAGTTTGCAAATGTCTCTCATGTGGGCCGGGATAGGTATGCTTCTGGCAACAAAATAAACATTTGGTAGGCATTGCAGGACCCAGCTTAGTAGATTCAGACAAGCCTGTTTGTATGATAAGGTGCAAGTAGAAGGCTTACTGTTTCGTGTGTAGATTTGGATGTCAGCTAGGGCCAAATTCAGATGACCGAAGAAGTAGCTAATGGTCGATTCGGTTTCGCATATGGTTTGCCTGTATCATTTGTGTTTGACTGTTCATTTTTGTTATACAGTTTAATCAGCACTTAGACTGTCATATCCCATTTCATGAGCTCATGGACTGCAAACGTACCTCTTTTCAATCTACAGGTGTCAGATGTCCTATTTTCAAGCCAAAATACTAGCATGCCAGAGTTGTCTGGGGTGCCTGCATCGAGGATTACACAATAATGTTGAAAGTATTTCAGGGCACCTTGATTGTCGAGAACTGAGCTTGGATATTTAAACTAAATTAATCACAACCATGGGAAGGTCACATCAGTCACATCAGAAAAAATATCCACAATATTTACGATATCCACCGCACTCACAATATCAATGCTCTGAACAAACCAGAAGATATTGTGTAAAACAATAACAGCATGGAATGCATCCACTGACTAATTATTCCAAAGGGACATATGACTCTACCGGAATCCGTCTACTACCTTCCAGCCATTGCAATTGTTGGAGAGATTACGCCTGCAAGAGCCGGTAACTAAAATATCAGCACGTATAAGCCCTTGCTTAACTTTACTCTAGATGATGCTGGCAGACTGCTCTATATGGCTTGACGAAATACTATCTAAGACTAAATGTTAGCAAGGAACTTTGCCAATAGCAATATATTCCTGAGTGCTAATTTCAGTGAGATTTTTCAGGGCATGAGGGGATTACGCCCTGCCTGCAATTGACTTGTGAGGGCGGGAGCTAGTGACGTGCCTCAGACATGACAAATCGATGAAACTATCATTACGCTTATTAAGGACTGTGGTAAGAAGTTAACAGACACTCTTCTGAAAAATCCAGTGCCTCAACCCGTACCGTGAGCTCCAGCAATTGTTCTGGCACATGTCACTGTTAATCAGCTGTTGCTACTGCCTGGCCCAATGGCCCAATGGTGCCTGAATGCACAACATGTTACTGCGCCGTAACTCGAAGTAGCCCATACAATACAAGATGACCAGGTTGATGGGAATGGCGAGGATGACGAGGATGACGGCAATGATGCCTGTGACTCCGGTGACCTGATGGACGTGGATAGACGAGCTTTTGCCAGATTGGGCCAGGAGAATAATGAGGATGACTAGGACCTCTATGAACCCCCTACTACAAATACACATCATAACCATGCACTGAAAGGAGTTCCAGCTATACAAGAAGCACAGAATGCACCTGAACATCTCGCACTTGCACACCCACACCCACCACTACCTGTTAATGTTTTAACTGGTTAGTTCATTTCCACACAAGTTGTTGAAGTCAAGCCTCCACTTACTGACAAATAAAATATTGATTGGAGTGCATTACTTGCATGCCCTGGTGTGGTATATATAGTTTGGGTTGAGGCCTCATTATACGGTGCGGGATTAGGCAGCATACAAAAAAGGTTGGCTGAAGCTTCATCCAATTATCAATCTGTTTATTGGCGAGCCCTGTACATCTCCGGAATCCAATTTGGTGTGTTGGATTCCTCCAGCATCCCAGGGTTGTGCGCCATGATCTTAAGATAGATACCACCATGACAGGTTCGCTATATGCTGAGTGCTACAGGTGAAGGAAGTAGGTTACTGCGCCAGCTTCCTGCACATCCCTTGTCACAGTTCGACTGTATTTTCATTCAAAACTATTGAATTGATGCGTACCTGGCTTCTCTAAAATCCTGTACTGCAGGACCTACTGGATCTCTTAGTATATTGCTACTTTGATGAAGGTGACATGAGGCCAGTGATGCCTGCGCTATGGGGACACCCATATGCTGACAAGGATGCAATAATTGAACTTGGTACCGAACTAGATAGAACCACAGGTCAGCTGCATAGCAGAGCATCTATGCCAGACGCAGGAGCAGCTGGCAGTCAAGATAATAATCGTTAGGTAGGACAGGCTCAGGAAAAAGACATGATGCTCTTGGTACCCATGCCATGCCAGAACGTACATCACACGAGTGACAATGAGATAGAAAGAGGTCTAACAATCTCTCAACCTGTGCCAAGTGCAGATATGCATAATTATTGAGATAAGGATGAGATGCAAGTCCTGCTCTCATGTGAGGCATATCTGAAATCATCTCTTATGGAAATCAGTCTATCTCTCCCTAATCGTGTCCAATTACAAATCACAAATTGGCCTCTTCTGAATAGACAACAACTGACTGGTTTACTTGCGCCTCGTAGGACGCACAAGTACATACTGAAGGGATGTGCCTCTTTTGAACTTGTAAACATTCCCGCGATGAAGGCGAAGAGGTTGCACCTGGCTCCAATTCTGGACCATGATTTGATGGATTGGACAACGTGGATGTTCAAATGGTGGTCAGTTTGGATTGTATGTTAGCACAGTATTTTAGCAGTGGATTTGTGAGAACTATTACAAAACCTTCCTTCCTTCAGTTTGTCTCATGTATCCGTCATTCATTGTGCTTCTTATGAAGAATAGTATTGTATGCTCCATTGTGTATCCTCCATTGCCACATCTTCCTTATTTCAAGTCAGAGATGTCCTAGGGGCACATGGACCTAACACCTGTAGTAGACATCTTGGCACATAGACATCTATGTAGCTCAAAGGTTTTGACGCCAGTGGGCAGGACCAGTGTACGGCTTAAACTATTATCTTATAAACCTTAGAGTAATTACTTCTCGGATCCCATACAGATCACGATACCTTTAGAATTATATTAGTATCTACAATTACTCGGCAGAAGTATTCTTGAAAACGGTCTCAGATGACTAAGCTGCCTTGCCAAAATGCCATCTTTCAATGAAATGTAAAGTTGATCGTAATTGTTCATCTTATCGCGACCGTGACCATTCACAAATCTACTCTCACTAAAGTCTCCTTTACCTAATTAATTAATTTATTAATTTTCTCTACCTTTTTTACCAATGGTTAAGTGTTCTGGAAATATGAAGTATGCTGCAAAAAAAAAAAGACCCCCGCCTAAAACTACCCAGAGAGAAATGAACCTTGCAGAGAAGGGCATGATAATCGCCTTTTTCTACTGCCTCTAGAACATTGCCTTGGCAGGTCAAATTGTTAGACGCCCATGGACAACAGTTCAGAGCCTTCTTGTCCAGGCACGTAAACAGCATTCTCTTGAAAATCTCCCTCGCCCCGGTCACACCCCCATTTTGAGTGGTCAACAGCGTCGTACAATTATACAGACAGCCAAGTCCAACTGGAAAATGACAAGATGTGCCTTCAGGGATCGCTACGTACCTGGTGTTTCTCTTGATACTGGTAACTCTTTGTGCTACCCACAGTGACTGGATATGATTGCCTACTAAATTTGCCTGTATAGTGGACCGGGTACTCAGAGAAGCAAACCTTAAAAAATGAATAGCCAAGTCAAGACCAAGGCTAAAGCCGGATCATATGGCTAAGAGATTGCGATGGGCTACAGCTCATAGGGACTGGACAGCTGAGGATTTTGAAAGGGTGATTTGGAGTGATGAGTGCAGTGTAGAGAAATCCAAGGATTCAAAGCAACAATGGGTATTCAGAGAACCTGCAGAGAAGTAGTTGGCTGATTGTGTACACCCAAAGGAGAAGGATAAGGGCATCTCGCTTATAGTTTAGGAGTACTTTTGGGGTAAAAGAAAAGCTCCATTCGTTCCTATTACTCAAACTATCAATAAGACCAGGGATGTTAGACTTTTGAGAAAATATCTTTTTCCTGTTATTCATCAAATGATTTCCTTTGGTATACAACTTGAAGATGTTTTTTTTCAGCAAGATAATGCTCCTATTCACAAGGCATATAGTATTATGGATTGGTTGAAGAGAAACAGTATTGAGGTTGTGGACCACCCCCCTTATTTCCCTGATTTAAATCCTATTAAGCATGTATGGGTTGAGCTTAAAAAGCGATTGCACCAGCAGTATCCAAGAATTGCAGATACTCCAGGAGGAAAAGAGGCTGTTAGGAGAAGACTTGCACATGTATTACTATTGGTTTGGGAGACAATTCCTGAGGAGCTTTTTGAGAAGTTGTGGAAATCAATGCCTGATAAGGTAGCTGCAGTTTTAGAAGTAAGGGGAAGTTATACAAAATATTACCTAGTTTAATTTATGGCAGGTCAATTGACCATTAAACATTGAGAGGTACCTGTGGTTGTTGATGGTGAACTTGAACTCGCGTATGCGCATGCCCGTTGACAACCCTACTGGCACTGCCCCACCATGTGGTGCAACTGCAATTAAACATTGTCTCAGATCACGAATGCCTCTGCCGAGTGACTGTATACCTATACGCAAAAGCTTCCTGTCACTTTGACCACAAGGTCATTAGTCTGCATAGTCAGCACAATTTCAAACCATTTTGCAACGATGTGGCATGCATTGTTTGTCAGTACACCTCCACCCCCGGGCACTCAGTATTGTTTACATGCACATCCCACTAGGGTATAAGATATTGAACGTCCTCCCACAGTCCTCTTGTCCTGCATCTATCAATGCCCCCTCAGCCTCCTCCTCCCACATCTCCCTTCTTCACCAACATCCCTCATCAACATCCTACTTCTATCTTCAATTCCATCGCATCAAAGTCTTTCTGTGATTTGTCCTCCCCCCTCCCACCAGCTGCAAATCACCTGTGTTTTTTTTAAAAAAAAACAGAATTTCCTATCTACCAATTTCGATAATATCGTTTTGCAAAAACACCCCCTCCCCTCCAAAACTGAGACAGAATGCTGCATGAGCTGCGAACACTCACCGTACAAGTAACCAAGTACGTTCCATCCAACCATTAACTACTGGTGCTGAGAATTATCAACATGTCCTTTTTAATATAGACGCCCCACCACCCTACCTCCCGAAAGTGACAAGAGAAGACGTAAGCACCAAACGCTGCCGTCAGGCACCGGTCGCAGACTGGCTATAATGGGCAAGTAAGTGATCACCCCTGCTTGTCATCATAGGTGCCCTGACGTGGAGCTAACCTTTTATGAACAGTGATGCGAGCCTGGAGAAAGAGGAGAGGCCACCATTTGAGCTGGTAGTGGAAGACTCCAAGTAAGTGAAAATTGTAAGCTATATGCATTTGCATAAATCGGTTTAACTAACTCTCCTACTTCAAAAAGTGGCCGCCACAGCAACATTGCATACGCCAAAAGCTGGTGTGGGTTCGAGAATCTACATGCCATCACTACTCCTTCCCGGAGTTAGCACGAGGGCCTCCCAGCCCACATGAGAGCGTGCTCATTGGACCCCCGCCACCAGACTGACTCCCCATAGGAGTCGGTCCTAACTTTGGCCTACTTCCTTCCCCCAGTCGCCACTCGGATTAAGCTGGTTAAAGACCAGTACCAGGCCGATGATGTCAGGGAAGTTAAACGTCATCTGAGGATCTTAGTCAGCCACGCAGCCAAGAAACGTCAGACAACGAATGAGCATTATCTCGCGGAACTGGCCATTTTGGAGGAGGTCTTTCGACCTCCGAGTAAGTGTTCCCATTCATCTATGTTCCACTATATTCATGCTAACATATTTTATCAGTGGATCAACCTGATTGGTCCTCACCGTATTTCCCGTGGGCAATACAGATCCACATCATTTGGCAGATGCATGCCCCTCAAGGACGGTACCAGTTCGTTGGCTAGCCCTGGTATGCCACCGACTCTGACAGGGGAATCACCTGGGGGATTATGGCATCACCGAGCTTAAAAAATGTGCTTGGAGTAGTTCAGGGCCAATGAGTAGAGGAGGCCATCAGGGGCCCACGATATCTCATCGGGACGACTGGTGAGGGCGTACAATTGCTTCACCCCGCGCCCCTGGAGCCTCTCTCACTCCCAGAGCTCATCTTTTTATATAAAGAGGATGATGTCCGCGCATGGATCCTTGCCAATAGTGGCGAAGATCCACTGGACCTGATAGTCCTGGAGCAGTGTCAGGAGGAGGCCCAGGCTCAGATCCCAGAGCCTGTCAATAGCAGATACCTGTTTTTCAACTGCAAGGTCTGGGATCACCTGTGGCTAGGAGGAGATATAGGGGGGGCTTTCGAGGTAGAGGAGGAGGACAAGGTGAAGGACAAGAAAGGAGGAGGACAAGGAGGACAAGGAGGACAAGGGAGAGGAGGAAGAGGAGCAGGAGGAGCAGGAGCAGGAGCAGGATGTGGTAGTGGAGCTGCATTCTCTCCAGTGCAACTGTGTGCCACAAGTCGTTGTTGATAAGGTAGGTTTCTAAACATTCACATCTAGAACCATTGTCTGTAGCTAATAACATATATAGGATAAAGACTCATTCACTTCCCTGCCCCTCATGACCCCATCGCACCGCCCATCCTGACTTCGGGTGTGCAGCAGCAATTCTGATTGACAATCTAAGTTCCCAACCTTCATAAACCTTAAACTAATACATTTGTTTTTATCTATATCTAATAAGATAGATAAGATGATGTCCTGCTCACCCCTGGCCCCACGAGACCCCACCCACCCACCAACCCAGACCTGCAGCCTTTACCGCTGCCGGAACTGGAGAAGCTCCCATCTATGATGGAGCTTGTCCGAGAGAACTTCTGGATTGTGGAGTACCTGCAAACACTCCAACCACAGGCCGGACCCTGTCATGGGCATGACAGAGTCAAAGATGCCTCTTTGTAATGATCCCTCCTCGGATAGTTAGTTCTTGGCGACGGGGAACAATACTTTTCTTCTTCTTCTCTTTCTTTCCTTGGTCTTATAGTAGCACTAGGCCTCTGCCAATGTTACCAATAGTACAAGACCTGTGTCTTCTATCCAGAGTGCATATTGTAAGCTTTTTCTAACTCTTCTTCGTTAAGAATGTTCCTTGGCATAACGATTACATTGCAATAAAGATAAAGATTGTAAAGGTGTTTTATATTTGTTAAAGTAATAAGTAGTAAAAGTACTTGGAATTTAATCTAATTTTATTTAAACTCGTACCGCCAACACTAGCATATAATGTGCCCCAAGGCCAGGCCTCCAGGTTGTCGCATCCTGAATACTACTAACTATAAACTAATTAAACCTCCAGTCCCGTACCTCAAACATGCCTGCACCATGCCCTAACACGAATACTAAGTACAAAACCATCAATGGTAAAGAAAATCATCCTCAGCCCAGCATATCCACCAGACAAGTTACCTGTACAAAATTCAAAAGTTCCACTACTGCCACCTGAATGTGACCCCGCGATAACCTCCTTCACAATAGAAGCCCACCCGAGCATCCCCACTCAATGATCCCGGAACACCCCGCCAACCACCCCGGCACCTATCCCCATTCTAAACAAAAGAAACACCCAAAGCTCAAGCGCGTAGACCCGAGGGAAAGTCAACTTACAGGGTGCAGGTTCCCTAGCCAAGGAGGTACGGACCGTTGTAGAAAATCAGGGAGGCACCACACCGGCAGTGTAGTCTAAAAACCTCGACTGAAGCAGCCAGGACGAGATAGTCCCGAAGCCGCTAGCACTTGACTGAACAAGCCCAGGTATTCAACTCATCCTTCAACTCCTCAGTCTGCTCCACTGGCGGTAAACCCACCGCAGACTCTGTAGTAGGCGGTTCGCGGTAAAGGTGATTACCCTTCCGAGTCGGGGACAAGTGGCACAGGTGAGGTTTGGTCTTGTTTGACTTGGCGCTTCTTGTTTTTCTTTCTCTTCCCACCCCCAGGTACAGGTCTAGCAACAGGAGTAAACGGGCTACTCTCATCACCACCCACTGCCGCAGGGGGCACGCTACCAGAGGCATTACTCCGACCAGCCACAGGCTCAGCTTCAGAGGACTCAGGCACCTTCCCCCCCAAAGGAGGTGATACCACTGTAGCAGGTGTCATCAGACCAGGATCTACCCCATTCACACCAGGAGCAAGCACCTCAACCGGACCTAACAAATCAGGAACCAGTCTACCGATACCACTACCCATAGCCAAAGCTGCAGGAGGGGCCGGGATAACCGGCGGCGCAACATTCTCCCAAGGAAGCTCCTCCCCTTGACCCTGAGAATTCTCAGGGTCTAGCCCACCCCTCCTAACCGAGACCACTGTAGCAACTGAAGTGACTGAGGTGACAGGCGAGGAAGGGTTACCCGTAGGAGCTTCAGCCGCCAACATCGTGAGATAACTGTGAGTAATAGCAAGTTCATTCTCAAAGGCAGCCAACAAGGCAGATATCTCTTTCTCAGCGCGACGAAATCGCGGAGAAAGGACGGAGATGTGATACCGAAGGCGAGAGACTTCGGCCATTTGGGAGAAGTTCTTCTCGACAGCTCGAGACAGAACCACTAACGAACGTAGAGTGGACGTGGCAGAGGAGGCGGAGGCTTGCTTAGCCATTGCGACCATGAGGAGGCGACAGTAGTGAACAACCGAAAGGATAAGTTGAAGGAAGAAAAGACTTCCAGCAAACGTAGGAGGAGGTGTAACAACGAAGTCCCTAAAAGGTTTTCAAAGTTAAAGACTTGAAGCCTATCATGAGATAGAAATCAAGGGCTCTGATTGTATCGAGACCAAACCATCACATCCGACAAGGGGTGAAAGAAGTAGGAAAAGTACTTAGGACAAACCCTGAAGAACCTATTCCCCTCGGCCGCATTGGCCTCCTTATATAGTGTTCTACCCGCTCATCGTCATGTGACCCAAGGTGGTCACATGCATGAAACCAAATCATAACAAACTAGTCATATGACCCAAGTGGTCACATGCTCGAAACCTATGACCTCGTAGCAAGGTCATGTGCCAAAACTCATAAACCTATCAAAATACAATAAACAAGTCATATGACTCCAATGAGTCACATGCGTGAAACCCATGACCTCATAACGAGGTCAGGTGCTAAATATAATCATATGCGTAAGGCATACCCGCAAGGCGCACTTGCAAGGCATACTCGTCAGGTACACATCCCATGACTCATATATGAGCCATGTGCGAAAGCATTACAAATCCTACATTTAACAAATCATATGACTTGAATGAGTCATAAGTGTAAAACAATAACATACCTGGGACTCGTAACCATGCATCACATAAAATCCTTTTCCCTGCCAAGCCACATTCGTGACACTCTCCTGCACTTGTTTCTGAGAGTAGCGCTGAAGGAGCGACTCCAACCCCCCCACCAATTCCTCCTACAATTTTGCTGGAGCCTACCTCTACCCATCCTATGACCCCCATTCTAACCCTGTCACCCCCATTGACATCTGTGGCTATGCCACTCCTCCATCTCCCCTGAACCCCCATCCTACTC